ATATTCGACGGGTAAAGAGCTTTTCTCGATAGCCCATAGCCATATTTCAACAGCTGGTTACATTCTTTGCTGTGAAAGTCCCTGATTGTCGAAAATGACGCTGTTAGCACGCGCTCTGACTGTGCCGCATTTGTTTGCATTTCAGGGAAGTAGAAGCAAACTTGGTCATTCTTCTGGTTGATCCAGTTGTTTCGTATGCATTTTAGTATGTGTACCGGGTCTATAACGAAAAACAGCGGCCTTGCAGGGTCTGATGGGTGTTGATACACAATTCTGTTAGAAGCGGGAAATTCAAAGTGGGACATTGCTTTTCTGTTCACAGAGTTGTTGTCACTCACGACGCACACAACGCGGTACCCAATCTTTTCCAGCTCGCAAATCACATCGTTCAGCATCTTGTGCAGGAACTCCGCGTCTAGTCTGTGCATTGGCACGATGTGCGCAACTTCTTTGAATTTGCACTTCAAGCTGCACACCATGAAAACGAGCGCACAGTTTGCAGATTCATTTGAGTTAAGCGCAGCTCCAGTAATATTGCCCCCTTTGTATTCAAAGTAAGTTTTGAAGTGTATTTCGTCTACCATTATGATGACGAAGCGCTGGTCATCTTTGAGGTCAGAAATTCTTCTCGCCATGTAACTGAGGAATGCTTCGCTCTGATGCTCTTGTTGAGGGCTCGTGCCATAAGAGGAGCATACCGATCCGATCGCCGTGGGATGCGGCAAAGTGACGCTTCCATGGCTGCGTATATAAGCGTACGCATGGGGCGATATGGTGAAAAGAATGCAACAGAACACCATGAAATCTGCAGAGTAGCGTCTGCGCTGTTTTTTCGCTTCGAACAAGGTTACTTGCTCTCGGAGAAATCTAATGGAGTCGGCGTCGTCTTCTGCGTGGGATGTGGACAATTGATCCAGCAGTAGGCAAATAGCCTCGCAAATTTCCTCGACCGAGTTGGAAATCAGGTCCCCGTCCCACTTCTCGATGCCCTTCGAGGAGTTCTACTATACCCTTCTTACTGTCAGCAATTTCTGGAACGACCAGATTTCCACGTAACTTTTTTACCGCCGTTTTCATGACATGTAGCGTCACGCTCATGTATACTTTTACGCAGACAAAGTACTTCAGCCACGGGGCCTCATCGTCGACGATGTGGATAATAACAAGCCTTTCGTCCTTTTCTATTATGTTCCAAAACTTCATCTCCTTGCTCCACAAGTGTCCGATTAGTTCTCCTAAGGAATGGACATTGTCCTCTTCACGTGCCCTGTTAAACATCTCCTCGGACTCCGCGATAGCTTTTTGCATAGCAGCATGCTCCATGCGCGCCCGCTTGGAGTCGGGATCTTCTTTTCCTGTGGCTTCCCTAGACATGTAGGTCGGGCAGCTAGGAAACTTCGACGGTACAGCGTCAGGGCGAAGACGGACATGGCATAAGGGCACTGTGATGGTGCGGCAAGTACTTTCATCGGTATGCGATGCTTCTCGGATGATGTCCTCATGTCCGAAGTGAAGTTCGCATTCCGAAAGGAATTTTGCGTCCACTGAACAAACCAATGGGTATCTGACATAAAGTGCGGATTGCGAGCCACATTTATACGAATGTATAACTATATTGAACTTCCATTTGTAATGAAACAATTAATTCTCTGCCAAAAAGAAAGCTTACCCTTGAATTCTCGGTGACGCAGAGGTCTTCCCGCGGCAAAGCGCGTATCCATGCGTCCCTCAGTGTTTGATCCTTTGGGAACTTGAACACGTGCACTTTGGTGTCCACGGTGTAGTTTCCGCGGCACCGCGGCACACAGCACTTGCACGGCATCTCACCGTCGCTCTTTTCACATTTCTCAAGCTTGCGGAGACACGAAAAAACTCACAGTGACGCGCAAAACAGGAGAAATTCGACAGAACAGATATGCACGTCGAAAAATACACTCGGAAGCAGGCCGATTCTGCGGGGGACTGGTAGAGCTCACTATTCAGCCGCACCTGCAATGGGGCGACATGCCTGGACAGGTCCGGACCCGTAGAGCCGCCTCTCGCAGCCGCCCCATTAGCTGGTGTAGTAAGAGTGGAAAGGGGCAAAACCGTGGCTTTCTCCCTTTCCACTTGGTGTTGAATGAGGACCACCCGGTGAGGGGGTCCCTCGCGACTCCTTTACACCTCCCCCCCCCAAGAGTGTTTCTGGTCCTTCACTCTAAGAAAAAAAGATGGTCTCAAAGGACTAACGGCAGCATTTGGTCCTCTGAAATCCAATTTGCTCCCCGAAAAGACCACCTGGTTTGAGCTAGGTACCGTGCGCAAATGCTGAGGACTAACTCTACTCGACCAGTACTAACCGAAAGGCGCGCGGGAGCAAAAGCAGCCGCGGGTGCAAACGCGCGGGTACAAAAGCAGCAAAAGGCGCGCGGGAGTAAGAGCGCGGGAACAAAAGACGTGCGGACAAGATGGCGGCGTCTGCTGCATCGCCGATGGCCAGCGTTAGCGACGCATTTACTGTTTCGGAACGCGGGGGGGGAGGTATCCACAGACAATCGTAGCATCGAAATTTGCAAGAGTTGAAGCTGACCTTATAACGATCGCAGCCTCCGTACCAGCCCGTCGTGGAAGCAGCCGCTGACTCAAGCGCCGCCATTGTTGATGCGCTGGCCATGCGGATTTTGACCATTGTCCTGGCGTCCTTCCCCTTTGCATACTTTTGAACGTGCTTTGAAAACGTTTATATTTTCTTTTTAGTTTAACTAAAACGTAGAAAAATGTTTTACCACGTAGCACGTGGTAAAAACGTCACCAAAGACAAAAACGATAAATTTTGTTTTTTTCGTAAGAGACGATGCGGTTGCCACGGAGACACGCATGCGCAAAGTAGGGCGGTCTATGCGGGGAAGTGAGAACATGGCTGCCGGAAGCCTATGGGGACGCTGTTTATTATAGACTGTCAAAAATAATTACAGTGTGTATCGTTACTTCTTAGGAGAGATACCCTCCTTGGAAAGTTTAGCAACAATAGTGGAGAACAATAATGGCTCGAAAGCAGCACCATATTTGTAACATCGTTCACGGTTGAGATGGTCACAGACAAGACGACTCCTCTCGCATGATCAGTATAAAAGGCGCATGGGTAGGCTTTGGGGTGGCGATTGAAATAGCGTGTCGTCGCGTGTGTTTCATCTGTGTTCTAATTCCTTGTCTATGTTAAAAATTGTATAACGTGTGCAAATGTGAAATAAGCGTTGTTCGTATGTGAATGTAATGAGCACGGAAAAGATCTACCCCAGCGGTACTATATTTTTTACCAACTTTGAATTTGACGTTGCCTAGCGCCACCTGGGTGTGTAAGGGCGCAATTCGGTACTAAATAAGGTAAGGGCGCAACATTTAGTCCCAGGGGCCTAAGTGCAAGGGTGCAAAAGTTAGTCCTGGGGGTTCAACTTTGAGGGACTAACGGTAGCGGAGCAAGTGTTTCTCCCGTCACCATTGCTCCCCTAGGGGACCAATGGTTGTGTCCGCGCATTTGCTCCCTTGAGGGCGTAAGTCACGCTCCCTTTTTTTTAGAGTGAATTCTTGGACCTGCTAACAGTTTACTACTCATCCCCCAAAATGAACAAAAAAGGAGAAAAATACGAAAACAACAACACAGGGCTGTGGAAAACTAACACGGTTAGCTCCGCGACAAGCACAATGCCCTACACATAGGCCGGCACAGGTAATAAAAGCACAAGTTATCACAAAACCAAAAGGCGAGCCGCGCCGACAAACGGCTGACAATGCCTAAAACAACAAAGAAAAAATGCACTTGGCGCGAAGTAACAAACGGCATACAACACTGACAACAGCTATCCCTGTTTCCCGCTTAAATGGAGGGGCAAGTCACTTTAAAAATAATTAAAAGAAATACGTGATTTCACTCACAAGCGCGTATTGTTCGGCGACTAGCTCGTCCTACCCCCCACGGGCGCCGGCCGTGTCGGCCTTGTCCAGAATCGCAAACATTCGTTTGCGATTCTGGACAAGGAGTCCTAGTTTTTGTGTCTAGCGCCCTTCCGGTGCACGACTTTGACGTCATACCTCTGGAGAGCTAGAGCCCACCTCGTTATCTCCGCCCCCCCCCCCCCCCCGAAAACTTCCAATTTGCTGGGGGCCTCCTCTGCCTTCTCCCCCTCATACAGCATTTTTCCATAAACGCTCCCCCCCCCCCCCCCCCCAAAAAAAAAAAAAAATCCTGGCTACGTGCTTGCCTTAGCCAGAACCATGACTGCAGTGATGAAATTGAGTGTATTTATATTTGGAGAAATAATTGACAATAGGGCGAATCAATGCGTGGCAAATCAAGTTATTGCGATGTTGTACACTTATATATACGGGACAGTGTGGGAGAGATGTACTGTAGGATATAATTTATTCTGCTGCAAGTTACTGGCAGCTATGTTGAAAAATGTAGTGGGGCTAAAATATGAAATCAAACAAAAGTTCACATGAAATTTTTGCTAGCTTAAGGTGAAATGATGGTGTCTCTTGCGTGTGCACTCATAAATTATATCGCTATGGGTGCGACAATTACTCCTAACTTCGCAATCCTAGCAGTATATTGAATATTGCATTCTGAGCCTTTCTGCTTCGACATTAGAAAATATGAAGACTTTAGTCTAACTTTAGTTTGACCGGCTCCATTGAACTAAGTGATTTGATTACTCCTAAGGAAATTGTTCATGAGTAGACAAAAGCATACCTTCACTACTCTTAAACAAATTGCATTATTAGCAGACGCACATTCTTTCGCGTTGGCTGATGTTAAATTAAATTATTTACAACAGAAAAAGCCACGTTACGCATTTAAAAGACTTAATTTTTTTAGACTGTGGTTGCAAGCAAATTACCAGCGAATTCTATAAAAGAATAGTATTTTTTATTAATGCAGTTTCTGCACAGCTCGACCACAAATTGTAATCCTCTCTAGTATGATGTCTTAGCCCCACACTTGCTTTATTCACTAGTGGGGTCTCGTCTGCGAACGGAGCTGGTTGCGGCCCTTGTCGCAGTCTTTGTACCTCATTGGGATGCTGTTCGGAAACCTTATTTTTCCGCAGGTTTCAGACAGGTGAGTAGCAGATGCAAAAACTCCAATATTGAATGAAAGAAAAGCATCTTAATAGGTGACATCGACTTGCACAAGCTACACAAATCCTAATGTTGTAGTATCGAATAGATATAATTCACCACACTTCACAAAGGCCGGAATTACGGCATCACTTAATCCGAGCTTTTCAAGTTCTACGTTTGAGGTCACAAGTTATGAACAATAAGCCACTGGATCATTCCAACCATAAATGTGTTTTAGGATTAATTTATCTAGCTCATTATCTTAAAAAAAACTTTATAAGGGCTGCCAACTTTTATGTTCATGGAATTCGAATTTGAGTTAAAAAAAACACGAAAATAATATAGTTTTTTAATCTGCATAACACAAAACAACAAATCTAACAACTATAAAAAATTCAACCCCATTAAAAATAAAGCACTATTGCAGTTCTGGCACGAAATAACATTCTGCTTTTATAAGAAATATCCACATAATAAGCCTTTTTTACTACTGCAGGTTTGGCCGCAAGGTATCCGTCCTATTGTCTTCGGTCATGATGCTGATTTTTGGATTCCTCGGCGCATTCAGCGTATCATTATCCATGTTCAACGCTACCAGGTTTCTAGCAGCCTTGGGAACAGGAGGGATACAGAGTACATCAGTAACTTTATGTATGTAAATTTAAGAATCCTATTTTTTTCGATTATGAATCACAGAGGTCATTCTTTGGGACGTAGAACAGATTCACAAAGAACGTTTTCCGCATTAAAAAAAACAACATTTGGGTCACCTCCGATAACACTAGAAGTGCTATGTTTATTACTGACGTAGTTCAATATTTAGGGCATTGTTAAAGACCTGGTGACAGGCACAAATTAAAAGGATTAGTCAAATGGCCACATAAGATCGCTTTAATAAAAAAAATATTATTTTCCAATGCAAGAATTTCCTTTTGAAATTAAGGCGCACAACATGCAAACGTTTCCGACAATACAGTTTGTACCAAATTTCCCCTTTTTATACAAATTGTTTATGAAACTCGATATATCGGGTTAAATGTATGTATGCGACATTCGTTTATGCTAATGTATGTAAACGAAAAAATGCTAGGATTGCCCAGATCGCATTATTTGCGGTGTAATGAATGAAGAGGACAAACGTAACTTAAAAAGGACGATGGCAATGTATGTTTTACTTTTCCGAGTAATTGATGAGGTTGACAAACCTTATAAATGATATGCAGTGTACTCAGTCGTCAACAAAGCGATTTTATAGCTTTAATATATTAACTTAAAAGGTTGTGCTTTTAACATACTACATACGCGATGCTACGGAAAAGTTCAACATAATCTAAACTGTCATGCCATACATGACAGCAGATCAGCATTTGTATATTTCTGTTTTGTTTTTACCTTCCTATATTATGGTTCACGTTCGTTTATTATAATCTCTCGACAAACCTGCGTATTTGTCCCCTGTAAGGTTCCTTCATGTCGTCCTCAACATATTAGCCTCGGGGTATGTTGGCGTGACCGCCAAGTTTATCATGTTCAAGCTTAACTGCTCTGAAGAACATCTGGATTATGTATTACATGAGCAGTAAAGAATATTAATTAGTTAGCTTATTATACGTTAATTGTTTTTACAGCAACACTATGCAGGCAGCTCACACTAAACATATAAAAAACGAGAGGCACGGAAGCGCAATGGGTGACATTCCAAAAAAAAAAAGAAAACATTTAGCAGTTTGAACAATATATAAATGGGTCATTAACAGTTACGATGGTGTACGAGAGATTTCCAGTCTTTTGTGCAGGGGGAATGCGGAGGCAATTTACGCTGATTAGTCCGTGATTGTAATGGTTAAATTTTGAATGCAAGTACACACCGTTGAGGTATTGAGGAAGAAGGATGACAGTATATGTGGTTTAGGTGAAGCAGGTGGTAGTACATTCAATGAAAGAATAACAACCGAGGCAGTTTCCTACGTGTTCACAAGGGTGAAATATTGATTCATGTTTCAGTTGTGAAACACTCGTCAAGGATGAGTATTTGAGGTGAATATATGAGACCACTGTATTTTGTAGGGACTATAAACTGTTGACTAAGTGGCTTTGATGAAAGTTTCAAATGATACTTTCATATTATAATCGTGAGCAGACGAGTGTTTTATAAGCTTCGAGTTTAGTCTGATAAGACGATTGGTGCAAATGTCTTCTAAAAAATTCCAGAGTGCGTGCTGTCTTTATTGAGTACGGTCTTGAAGTGCAAATTCCGCGTTGAGTTTTCGGTAATTGTTTTTACTAGATATTTGTAAGAAGGCACGTGTTCCATGCTGGACGAGTTCGGTGTAGACTTTGCCTTCTGGAGATTAGTTTTATGGTTAAACGTGGTTACTTTTGTTTTTAAGCGTTAATATAATCATTTGCCATGTATGGTACCAAAAAGGAACGTTAACAAGATCGGATTGTAGCAGAGACAAATCGTCACAATTCGTAATAGTGTAACAGATGACGCAGTCATCCGCAAACAGGCGTATAGATGAAGTAACAGAACATGGTGGGTCGTTTATGTGTATTAGGAAATGCTTCGGATCTAGAACGCTAACCTGGGTATTGATTCTGCAGTGGCCAAGATTTAAAGTCGTTAATATGTGCATATTGCTCACGATTCAGGAGGAATGCTTTAATCCATTTTATTACTCTTTCTTCAACATTAAACTGTGAAAGTTTTTGAAGTAAATGTTGGTAAGGTGCCGTGTTGAACGCCTTGGCGAAGTCTATGAAAATGGCATGAGTAGCAACTGACCTCTTGAAATTTTCATGGAGCTCAGAGACCAAGCCAAAAGGTTGCAATTCGCAGTAGAGGTGTTTGCAGAAACCAGGTTGACTTGAATGTAGGTGATTATTTGGAACGACGTAGTTCATTACCTAAGTGTAGATAAATAACTCCATAAGTTGAAAGGTACGCTGGTGAGAGATATGGGCCTGTAGTTTGATGCAAGGTTTAGGCTACCAGATATAAAGATTGAAATAATATGTTACATATTTTTTAATCATGTGGAATGTCCGATGTTATAATCGAAGCCTGGAATAAGCTGATCGTATTACCGAAATAATATATCTGATGATGACTAAAAAGCCGGGTGAAGTACCGTCATTTCCAGGGGCAGAGTTAGGGCGTCAACGGTCAATGGCTTTGGCTACACTGGAGAGTCAAGCCAGTATTTTCCATTGTTGTATTCGCGTAGCTAGAGAGAGAAGGAAGAGAAACTGTTTCATGGGTAAAGACAGAAAAAAATACTAATTAAAAATATTTTTTTTTCACACGCTAGCTCATTTTAGCTTCATCGTTCAGTTTTGGTAACCTCAATGCACTATTAAGACCGTCAAAATATTTTTATAAATCGCGTTCAAAATAGCTTGTTTTACATTCCTTCCTTCCGCGTTTATATACCTCGGCAAATTCAATATATTGATTCCCATACTAAGGAGAATGCTTGACCTTTACCATTCTTAGAGACGTCTTCTTATATTTAGCAATTTTATGTGAGATAGTTCGTGAACCGAGGATTTCTACTAGTTCCATCGGACATCAACTTCAGTATATATTTATTTATGGGAAGGTTAGTCTTCCTTTTTAAGTTCGCCCAAATTGATTCAACGGAGTTGTCAAAACCAGCGAAAAAAAATCAGTTGCAAACGTCTGAAAGTATGAAAAATTGTTCTGCGAATCGGCCTTATAATAATCGTAGTACGTTTTGTTTAATATTCACTTTCTCTTGCTATAACGCCAGTCTCAATAAAACAGTTTTATGATCACTAAGTTGTTCCAATGTATTGCATAAAACGACACAAGTAGAATCGTTTACAAAGAAATATAAAAAAAACGTTGGCTTCTGTCGTTTCAGGCACAATCTGAATAACACCTTACCAATCTATTAGACCTATGAATTTCCTGAATTCAGTGACATCGCGACAAGAGATGTCGGTAGAGCAGTCGGTCCAGTTAATAACTGAATAATTAAAGTCACTACCATTTATTGTAAGACTATTAGCATTCCGACCCATAACGACATCTACACATTCTGCAAACGAATCAGCAAGACCATTTCTAACCCACGGTGGTCGACAGAACAAGCACTTGCACTCGATGAGGAACGCTCCAGCGCACTGTAGCTCAAATACTCCCTAGGCTACTATGAACATCTATGACCTCTGATGATTTAGAGACTTTTTTGGTGATTTTGATTTTGATTTTGAGACAACTTTTGACGCGTTTAAATCAAGAAAATTATGACGTGTATATACTTAAAATAAAATAAATGTAGGCTTCAAGTAAGCACAAATCTAGTTTCAGTGGGTGTGGCGTAATAGTACAAGACCCAGTCAAGCTACATTTTATAAATGCTTCTGAAATAAACCAGTTCATGTTCACATTCATAAATGTTCTCTACATTTTCAAAAGAACAATATATATTTTTTCTGTAATTTTCCGAACCTCTTGTTATGCCATACTTTTATATTTTGTATATCGATTACGCGTCTTTTTTCACCAGCTCTCTCAGTTGCAAGCTTGGGTATACGTTGACGTGGATCTCAACATTATATGTTTAGTTTTGCTAAATCTTAAAAAAAATGGCATTAACAGAGCTAATTGCGAGAATAGCCTGAACTTTCAGTAAGTTAGCGCAATTTTAGGACATTCTTAGAAAGCCTTGCACAAAATGTTATTGATTTTAAATATAAGATGTGTCAACACCAAAGCTCGCACTAGAATTGGCCAGAACAATTGATGCCACCCCCTATCAACCTCCAATTTTTACCAAAAGCGTGTATCTAAGTGGCACTTTACCTTGAGTAATTACAAGGTATGGCTCTCTTTCTTTAAAAGTTAGGTAACAGCCTTGCCACGGTCAACGGCGGACGACAGCACAGATGACTGTGTTGGCGAGGGTCGTGCCTGTGGTGCCATTTGTTTGTTCATCCAGAATTGAAGCAGCGCGACTAGGGAAAGATTAAGCGAGAAACTGGCATGAACTGAATTGACACGCTGCGCCGATTTTTGAGACGGTAAATAGTTCTCATAAGTTATTAAACCCTCACAAACTTGTTTGTTTGTTAGAGGCTGCTCGTGACCGCGGCGAGTGTTGTTCTAGCTTTTCACGGGCATATAGCTACGCCTTACAATTACGCGAGGTTAAATGCACCGCCAACACACACATTCGGTGCAACTTTAAAAACGCTACATGCAGGCGTCGATATTCGCGGAATATTTTAAAGCGAGTATTGGTATTTAAAACACGCTATACGTTCGTTGTTTGTTTGACGTTTACCAGTAACATTTTTAGTCTTCGAACTTACGTCTAATGAAAGTACTTTCCGTACGCTTCAATTGACTATGCACAGGCAGATCCTCACTTCATAGCACACTATCTCTAAAACAAGCAGAAAGCGGGCACTATTACCTAAAATTACGTGGTTTTAAACAGATTTGCGTTAGCTCTACTCGATGCAATGGAATGGAAAAGAAATTTTCACGACGGCTTGTAACATTCACGTTGTTTCTTGTTATAGTCGTGGAAACTCTGCCTTCCCGACACCGAGTTCTGTTTGTCGCGAGCTATGGCTTTGGTTGGACTGTTGGACAGCTGGGCACGGTGGCTTTGGCATACGCTATCCGAAACTGGAGAAACCTCCAGATGGCGTCTGGTTTATTTGCCTTGCCCTTGATTGTCCTGTGGTGGTGAGTAATGATCACACAATATTTAATACAAACTAACGAGACTTATATCAAACAAATTTAGTAAAAACACAACTAACACTAAGGAAGAGCAGGAAAGTGCAGGCACTCCAAACCGCCTTTCAAGAAACAAAAAAAAGTATAAATTTATCATTAATCGTTAGTACTAGACTGAATCGAAAAAAAAAGAATGTCGCACCGATACATAAAAAACACGACTTACATGGGCAAGTCGTTGTTCTGGAAAGTTTTACGTGGCATACACTAAGACTGAAGAATGGGCCTCACAGAGAAAGTTGTATTTTTTTATGCTGCACAAGTTCCGTATGTTCGCAGAAGATTTCATGACGCCTAGTATCCGCTTTTCATATACACGGGGAAGTTAGAGTCAACTATTGAAAGAAGCTGACCAAACATGAGCCACCATGAAACTAGTCGCTTTTCAGTGTGGATTCGTTTCTAGAAGATGCTGATAAAAATACACAAAGAAGAAATGAATTAAGGAAAAGGCAAGCTATTTTTTTTTTTCAAAAAGCCAGAAAAACACGGTGGCAAAGACTCCTAAAGATATTAAATGCACTTACTTTTCCGTTAATGGCGAGGTTTTAGAAAATCTCCGTGGGGCGACTTGATGAGGTTTTTTTTCGTGGGTACCATTTTCCTTTCGACAGCCAAATGGGGATATTCAAATTGATTCCTTATTACTATTAATGAAATGTGTTTCTATTTTTAAACGATCTAATCGATCTATAAATATTTAGACACAGCTATTTTGAATAATGTTAACAGGTGTGTGAAGTGAGCCTCAATACAAAATAGTCATGTGCCTTGTCTGTATGATCATCCTCAAATCGAAACGTATCAATATTTTCAAACTTGTTGGGGTGTCTCTTGCTTGCAGGTTTGTGTCGGAGTCTCCAAGATGGCTTCTTACACAAGGAAGAGAGGAAGCCGCCATGAAAGAGCTACGAAGGGCGGCTAAAATTAATAAATCTGTACCACCAGATCTCACGCAACTTTCCGACTTGCTGAAACGCCAAAGCAATGTAATTAGAATATTTCTTTCCTCATTCATTTATATAAAAACAAATAATTACGAATAGAACGCACTATGAAAGAACATTAGTCACTTTGCAACCAGCAAAATCTAAGATCGAGAGCATATTAACACAGTGAGTTTCTAGCTCGAATGCAACGTTAATATTTGAGTTTCCGGATATCAGGATAAGACATGCCAAAATTACTACCGTTCAGTGAGACATTTTGTCATTATGACTAAACACGTCACAAGATCATAAAAGCCGGTACTAAAACGTTACAGGCTATATATTATCCGCCAGGCAAAATTATGAAAAGAGGACTACATTTACGAATTAGCAAAAAATAGATATATCACTTCAAGTGCTGCATTAGTATTATAGTAGTGTAAATTCAAACTTTGCCTCAGACTATTGTAATATTTTGCTCAGTTAATGAACTTAATGCTTTCAGAAGCCCAGTGTTACTAATGTAATTATTTGCAAGACTCATATTGAGATTTTCAAATTTTCTTTCAAGTAAACAATTACAAGCGTTTTATTTTCATTTTATCACAGGTTGCAAAACTCAAGACACCTACACTTCTAGACTTGCTGAAGGGCTCAAAGCTGAGAGTCTACACATTCGTTATGTTGTACACATTGTAAGTAAGCCTATACACCCAATCTAATGCTAGATATCTGCATAATAGGTAGCCAAAAAGCGTGGCTTTCGCGGAAAATTGATGCTAGTTCAAGATATATTTAAAATATGAAATAAAAAAGGTCTCTACTTCCCTCATTATTCAGCCTACAGAATGTGTGCGATATAATTATACTTTCATAATGAATTTATAGTTTCAGACCGTCTAAAACAAATGGTGCTAAACGCCCATCTACAAGGTCGATGTGGCTAAAGCGCACTCGAGCAGCCGACTGTTGTGGAGAGATTCTGTTGCAGTGATTGACTCCCCGATGTCATTATTTAACTCACAGGAATCTTTAGAGTGTTGTATTGATGAAAACTAAACAAACTAGGGAATGCTTAACTTACCATACACGGTTGAACGTAATGCTACGTTGATAAGTCATATGACCTCGTTACATGGGACGGACGAAGAACGAGAACTGACGTGACCAAGCGATCCTTGTCTTAACAGCGCGTTCTCTCGTCATTTCCCGTTCTGCCTTCATCGTTCCTTTTTTCGCGGTGTTTTTTGCAACACATTCTCGCCAAGTTACCTCCTTACATTGTATTACCCTTTTAGAGCGAAAGCTGTTAGTGGGACACTTCGCGGTTATGCCCCTTCGACCGCACTTCATACCGACACAGGGCATTTTTAGCACTCCCCAAAACACTCCATGGGCCTCGGATAGCAAGATAACAACCAAGAAAGATAACGCATTCATGCATTTTATCTTTCTTGCTTGTTACCTTGTTATCAGCGGCCCGCTGAATGTTTTGGTGTCATGCATGGTAGCAATATAACATGCTTGGTAAGTAAAACAGTCCTCGACAGGAAATCTCGTAGTGCACTGGGTTGGGTGCCAAAGTAATCGAGAATGCACGAACAACTCTCGGGAGATACGCAGATAAAACTACATTAGAATTTTACGATGCATTCTGTCTAAGAGGGAAACTCAGTGCATAAGTGCCCCATCAATGCACCTGAGAGATAGAGAGATTAATTTTATAAACGAATGGTCAGAAAGATGCCGTTCATGGTGCGGGTTCATTTCAAAAACCATTTTTTGAGACTGCACTTCTTCCCGTCTTCCTCCTTGTTTATTCTGCGCTTTTCGTTTAGCACGTGTGACTACTTGTAGCCAAGTGACGTACGAAAACACGCTCCCCTCTTACCCAGAGGGCTGAAATGCTCTCAACTTAATACACCCTCATCGATTGCAAAACGCCATGGAACTTTGGTCCGGTGTGTTACACTGTTTAATACAAAATGCCTATGCAAACTCTATGGTGCGCGCTCACACCTTTACCGTTTACTCAGTCCATCTGCTTCGAAACGGCACCTTAGCGGCTCCGCGTCACACCTCAGCTGTCCCTGTGTTTAACCTTAAAGGGAAGATGGGGAACTTCTACATTTGAGAAAAAACGCTTGAATTGCGTTCATTTGGCCTTTAGAATAACAGATATCAAAATTATATTTCAATGCGACGCGCCGGAGAACCACCAGAGCAATTTCAAAATAGGGCTGAAGCCCCGCCCCCCTAGCCTTGGGCAGCCAAAAGAGCCGTCGATGACGTCACGGACAGCGACTGTCTTTCGCGTTTTTCTCGCGTTTAACAATACTTACGCAGCAAATGGTTTGGGTATTCGGGTTCACGGGGTAAAAACACTCTAGAATTCACTTCTAACTCATTTTTTCCAAGAAGCTCCGTAGCTTCCCTTTAAGGGCTGCGCAAGTGCTTAAAGTGTTCTTTAGTGTGCCCGTCGATATCAAGGTAGCAATGTTGAATTATGTTTACCCATTTGGAATGTTCTATTCCCAGTTAATGTCGATACATTGGTACCTGACTATAAGATTATCACCTTTATGTCCTGTGTTTGCAGAGCAGTGGCGACACAAGGAGGGGGGGGGGAGGGGCGACCCGGGTGCAGCGTTCGGGGGGGGGGGGAGGGGGGTGTCGCAGCGGGCCGCGGGGGCGGGGAGGGGGGAAGGGAGTCGCGGCGAGCCACGCGAGAGCAGGTGAGTGTTTGGGGGGGGGGGGGGGCATGTCGCGTCCGGCTGCCGCCCCGGGTGCCTTGACCCTCGTGACGCCACTGTCCCAGAGTACCTAACGGTGACGACAATTTGCAATCTATGGGCTGGGAACACTGAACCTTGCGCTGTAAAACGAGCCGGAAAAATTGGCGACGGTAAATAGAAAGCTCCAATGCTTACCAAATAGGCATTAGGCTTGCCTTCTGAAAGTTCAAGGCTTATAATTAACTTCCTACACAAAAAAAAAAAAAGTATTAACAAATCGCCAAAGCTGAAGGCAAACGTGTTCGCAGATGATCAAACTTCCGATGAGTGTAACTTGCGGCACAATATCCCGATAGGCACAGCGAGGAGACCACAGAGATAGTCGTCTACTCGCTCCGCCTTTCGGCAGATGGCGCCACAAGTTGGATACATCTCGAACTCGATCGTCTCCGAACACGTCCGCTGTCATGTGCGTGCCAATCCGAGGGGCAAGGGGGGCGCTTTCAGAGTGAGGGGGCAAGGCATGTGTTTTGACCCCCCCCCCCCCCCCCCCACCTCTTCCCCTGAAACAGCCGCCACTGGGCGGGGCAAACACTGTCTGGCGGCGCCCAAATGATACAAAGGGCACCACCCCTCGGGCCTGGGGGAGGAGATGGGGTGCTCTGGTTTGCCCCCCCCCCCCCCTCAATACCAAGTTGGTACGCTACTGTTTGATGTTGATTTTGGCAAGTTAGTCGGACTCAATTACAAGAAGCAAACTACACCTTGAAATTTTTGCAAGGTAATCCTCACCACCCCAATGCACATTCGGCGAAAGTTTGAGCTTTCTATGTTGAGACGCCGACTTTCCCGGCTCGTTTTATAGCATAAAATGCACTGAAGCAACCCGACATATGTATATACCGCTTCATTTCTCCTACGTGTTTGTATTCTGTATTCAGAAAATGCTGACTCGTTTGGTCGAAATGTTTTTTGTTTTGCAGCTTTGCCCAGCGGATATTGTACTTCCATCTCTCATATGCGGCAGTTCTTATTGGTGGGGACCAGTTCCTCAACTACACGATCGTACAGTTCATGGAACTGCCGGGGAAGGCCCTTGGAATTGTGGCGACGATTTTCTTTCCACGGAAAGCTTGTCTCATTATCTTCTACGTTTGTGGAGCTATTGCATTTTTGGTGGCTCTGGCGTTTCCTAAAGGTAATCACACTTGTGGGTATGAGGACGCTACCTCCTTTTCTTAGTTTACTGTAGATAGAAAATTATCCGAATTAAACGTCTGTTAAACGATTAGAAGCTACCCAGGTAGCACAGGATTCTGGGCCAAAATCTGGCTTTTGTCTGGGAGTTTACGGCCGTGAAAAACCCGAAGAAGCCAAAGTAAAGTCAAACCTGACGTTCCTTGGTAAGAGTCTGGGTATTTTGGCCCTAATTCGCCAAACAAGTGCCAAACTTAGGCTTCACTGCCTCGTAGTTCGGCTGTCATCTGGCATCTTTGGGCCCAAACTTCGGCATGCCCCGAATTCCGAAATTAGGATTCACTTCCGCAGTTATGGCTGAAGTCTGGCTCTTACTTTGGCACAACTGTGGCGGACGAAAGAAAAGTCAAACTTTGGCTTATCCGAAATACCCAATTTGGCGTTGCTTTGGCAGTTATGAATCCCGTACGGCAGTCACTTCGGCACTCTTGTGGGGGACCTGAGAAAAGCCAAACTTTGGCATGCCTGAAATACCCAAATTAGGCGTTGCTTTGGCAGTTATCGCTCCAGTATGGCACTTACTTCGGCACTCCTGCGGTGGACCAGAGAAAAGCCAAACTTTGGCATGTCCGAAATACCCAAATTAGGCATTGCTGTGGCAGTTATGGCTCAAGTATGGCACTACTTCGGCACTCTTGTGGCAGACCAGAGAAAAACCAAACTTTGGCGTGTCCGAAATGCTCAAAAGAGGTATTGCTCTGGCCGCTATGGCTCAAGTATCCCAGGTAGCACGCCAGAGGAATGCCCAACTTGGGCAAAGGTCTGGCAAACATAAGGGCCCAACTTTGGCGCAGTTAGATTTTTGCACCATGGCACTCATCAGTGCCAAAGTACGGTGCCTAACTATAGCCTTAGTTGGGCGATCCTCTGGCATGCCAAAGTTTGGCTCTTCTCTGGTACGCCAGAGGAGTGCCAAAGTTGGTGCCATACTTGAGCCATAACTGCCATAGTAAATCCTAATCTGGGAATGCGAGGCATGCCAAGGTTTGGCGTTTCTCTGGTTCGCCAGAGGAGCGCCAAAGTTGGTGCCATACTTCAGCCATAACTGCCAGAGCAACGCCTAATTTCGGTATTTGGGACGTGCCAAGGTTTGGCGTTTCTCTGGTCCGCCAGAGGAGCGCCAAAGTTGGTGCCATACTTCAGCCATAGCTGCCAGAGTAACGCCTAATTTCGGTATTTGGGACGTGCCAAAGTTTGGCTTTTCTCGGGTCCGCCAGAGGAGCGCCAAAGTTGGTGCCAGACTTGAGCCATAACTGCCAGAGCAACGCCTAACTTCGGTATTTGGGACGTGCCAAGGTTTGGCGTTTCTCTGGACCCGAGAAAAGCCAAAGTTTGGCTTTTCTCGGGTCCGCCAGAGGAGCGCCAAAGTTGGTGCCAGACTTGAGCCATAACTGCCAGAGCAACGCCTAACTTCGGTATTTTGGACGTGCCAAGGTTTGGCGTTTCCCGCCAGAGGAGCGCCAAAGTTGGCACCATACAGTCATAGCTGCCAGAGTAACGCCTAATTTCGGTATTTGGGACGTGCCAAAGTTTGGCTTTTCTCGGGTCCGCCAGAGGAGCACCAAAGTTGGTGCCATACTTCAGCCATAGCTGCCAGAGTAACGCCTAATTTCGGTATTTGGGACGTGCCAAAGTTTGGCTTTTCTCGGGTCCGCCAGAGGAGCGCCAAAGTTGGTGCCATACTTCAGCCATAGCTGCCAGAGCAACGCCTAATTTCGGTATTTGGGACGTGCCAAGGTTTGGCGTTTCTCTGGTCCGCCAGAAGAGCGCCAAAGTAAGTGCCAGACTTGAGCCATAACTGCCGCAGTAAATCTTAATTTGTCGATTCTGGGCATGCCGAAGTTTGGCTTTTCTCTGGCTACCCACTGAAGTGCCAAATAAGTGCCAAAAGTGGCAAAGAAAGCCGAGAGGCCAGCCCAAGTTTCGAATATCTCTGGTGTGTCACAGAGGTGCTCTTTCACGCGTCCCAGAAGAGAAATAAATTAAACAAGCGTTGGAAACACGATGGTAAGATGTCATCACCTCCGTTCCCAAGCAGCACGGCAATACTTTGCAGTATCGTGCCAGTGCCGGCCGAAAGTCGGTTCCAATATCGCTCAACTGTCCAGTTTTGTACCACCGTTTGATACCCGGTGGGTATTCCCGTACAGCTGTTTCGCCCCGACCTAGCGTTCGCGCAATGTTGTGCGAAAACTCTACGATGCGGCTGCTTCGTATTGGCCGAACGTCGTGCAAGTATATGTACGTTGCATGTCATTTGTTGCATATCCAATCACTTATACGGACAAACAAATTTTTTTCGATCGCTCCCAGAAGTTTATTAAACAACTATCATTGCACAAAGTGTATTCTCAACATATTTACAAAGGTCACACTTCTCTGTAAAACGAAAAGCAAATTATAAAATACAATTAACACTGTCCTCAAGCCAAGCAAAACTCATCACACAAAAACCGCGGAGATTGAGAGGAAAGCAGGACGACTATCAGAATCATGCTTGTAGTGCACTTACTAATAAAAGAGCGATATCATGTAATCCTTGATAGATGCATAATCCAACTCAGACACCCCACAAACACATTCGAGGATTCGGGGACTGACGTCTCGTCGTCGGCGAAGAGCAGTTTTTGTCGAAGCGTGTCCAACAAACACATCACAAGTATTCCACGAACTCCGGTGCAAAAAATGGCTGTTACCGAAAAATTGGCATGGACGTATTCCGACCGTTTACGACGAAAAAACACAGTCGCGTCTGTAGCGCACGAAAGCAACAGAACACTGAAGAGCAGTTCGAAAACCGGACCTACGTGGCCCGCTTATTTCTATAACTAGGCAAACGGCGAAAACGACAGCCCCAGAGATCCCATCAGCGTGACAGAGAAAGTCACGTGAAAAATTTTCGTCCAAACGTTTTTGTCCTACGCGTCCTACGTAGAGAGGTCACGCTGGGTCACGCGTTTCGCTTCACCCTTTTGATTTGCTTAAAGCGGCTGTCGCGCTCGCTGACAGCCACAAGAAGACACAAAAGCAGGTGGGGAGGATTTGCAAAAGGCGAGGTCGAAGGGGAATCAACAACGCATAAAAGGAAAGGCCGCTTCTGCCGGTGACCTTGTCGCCTCGCCTAGTCTGTCAGCGTTCGGCTTCCATTGAGGGCCACAGAAAGATAATCTCCTTTCTTGAGAGCGAAATGGACGGGGTGATGAGGAAGATACATAGAAAGGGGGGACGGACAACGAAGACTTCCAACTAGCAACAACATTTATTGACCCGAAGTTTGCATATATAGGTGAAGGAGGGGAGGGTGAAAGACGCTACACTGGAAATTGGGAAAGCGATGGGAGAGGGTGTAGAGCCAGGGAAATGAGGGACGATCCCGTGGGGTAGACATCTAATCGCTTGGAACCGCGGAAACGAGGGACGTCAGCTCTGGCCCCAGGAAGTTTATCTCCCTCCTGGATAAGCCTATGGACGGGGTGGTTATGTTTTTCGGGCTTGCGCCATCCGATAAGCCTCATTATTTCTGTCAGACATGTACAAATTACTCAAAAAAGGTAGTTAAGTTAAGTTAGTGAGGATCGGCGCCAAAAGTAATTGGAGTAGAGTAGAAATTACGCATTCCTAATAGTAATTGAGTAAACTACTAACTACTGTAAAAAGTAGCGAGTTACTTTGAAGTTACTTTCGAAGTTACTTTTTTATATATTTGTGGTAGCAAAATGAACAGCAGTTTTGATCAATGAAAAACCCTGCGAGCCTAAAATAAATGCAGTCTATTTATGGCTTGCGTTTTCGCCAAAATAGTTTACTCGCTCGCAGAAGCAATTGCCTTTCAAAGTTCTTGATAGGAGAGTTTTCCCCTTTTCCTTCTAAAGACGTCCCCAGCCCAGCTAAATAGACGTTCCGCCGACGGGCTGGATGAAACGGCAGCGTTGAATTTGTGAAACAGGCCGTGCGAGGTCGGGTAAGCGAGTGTCGGCATCTTAGGAGTCCATGACGAAACTTGTGAGGTTTGCCTCGAGTAGAGGGTCTTTAATAACAAACTTTCCTCCTTTTTTTTTTCTTCGTCAAGTTGAGATTGTTATGACTGGCCCCTCTTCATTCCGACGTCGTTCTGAGAGTACGCTGGGCGAGTGCACCAGACCGTCAAGGGTTCAAGTCTCGCGCCACGACGATGAGATCATCCGGACGACTGCGCGCACGTCAAAGTGCTAGTGCTACGCGACTGAAAAAAAAAAATTTGGTGTAACAAAAGGATCTCCCAAGGGTAACTCGCAATCCTCGCCGGTGACTACAACATTCTGACTCGCCTGAATCATTTTTAACAAAGAGGAGGTCTCCCAGGCATGGATGGTCGGAAGGACGCGAAGGATTACGTGAACAAGCATCGTCGCTCGTATACAGTTGCAGCTGTAAGCGGGAACGTGCTCCCATGAACGGATTATCCGTACCAGGGTTTGTGCGCGGGAGAGTCCGGCTTTGCAAAGGCGTATGCGCTGACGACAAGGCGCCCAGCTGCGAGGTCATTCCAGTGGCGCCTCCCGTGGAACCTACCGCTTGAGTCAGAACTCACTAAAGACAGACAGCACGAAAAAAACAACTCTCAGAGTGTCCCCGTCTTTCACGGTTGCAGCTGGAAACGCAGCGCTTGCGTGCATTACCGGATTAGGTCAATACCCGACCAAGGCTTGTTCAGCAAGCATCTCTTCCTGCGTTCGTGCGTGCCGGTGTTATGTTTTGGCTGCTCGTCGCCACCTTGGCCCAAGGACGCCTTCCACTTCATCTGCCGGCGTCTTATCCATTTCTGCGCTCAAACTTTCGTGATGGGCAAAATTAGCATTATATAATTTCGAAAGTCGTTAGTAATTTGAGTAGAAGTTACCTGAAAAAAGTAGTTAAATTATACTACTAATTACCCAAATCAAGTTGTAATTGAAAGTTACC